GAAAGTAGGCCCAAGTGAGGAACTATACAGAGAAGACGTATTTGCAGAAAGCAAACTGTATCTGTGGAAACAGAGAAGTAAAGTCTTTCATTTGGGGGAGAAAAACGGAAGAAAACAAACAACAAAAAAACCCACATTGTCTATCTTGATTGGCTAGACCAAGAAAAAAATATATATATATATATTTTGGTCAGTGATACAAAAGAAAAACTGGGCAGGCACAGGAGCTATACAAATGTACTACAAAATAAAGAGAAAGAGAAAAAAGAAAACCAATGGCACATCAGAAACACACGTTGCCATAAGAGAAGTGAAAAATTGTGACCAAACATTTGATCACGAATTTTTAAAATGTACTAAAGAGCAACCACCCCTTTGAAGCAATTATATAGTGCAGAATGCAAGGGGTTAAGGAGAGGTTAGCAAGACAAGAACAAGAGATGAATTGTAAATTTTCAATGCTCAAATAAATGGTATAATTGAAAACAGTAGAAAACCATAAAAATGAGGGGGAAAGAGAGAGAGCACTGACAGCATAAGAAGATAGAAAAAACTGAAGTGATAATTACAAACTAAGTCATGGATATTCATAAGGAATCAAAATGAATTAGAGAGGAATGTATCACACACACACACAAAAATAAATCCAACCTACATATAAAAGGAATCCCTGAATAACAAAATCATCATAATAAGAGCAAATTTTTAAAGCTATAAATGCAGCAATTGTTCTTGAAATAAAAGAAGACTTGAATTTATACATCGTGAGGAGTGGGAGGGGACTTATACAAAAAATAGTCATGTATCTGGGCAAATAGTCCGGAACAGTCAGCACTAAGATAACATTCTAATGAAGTCACTGGACCTAAAATACAAATGAAGAATTCTTTAGTTAGCCAAGCAAATACGATCTCCCTAAATACTATAATGCTAGTACAAACTGTACTTCAAGTACAAGGCAAGAGACATACACTTTTGAACATGCAAGATTTCAGAAACACTGCTGCAAAGGACCCTTCCCTGGGAATCTATGAGAGGTGACATCCATGCAAGAGATGTTTAAAAATCAGTAACAAACTTGTGAACATTGTAAGATCCTTTGGGAAGCAAATTCTTCTCGAGTGGACAGTAGAGGCTTGCAAATGATTGTAGTTCTTGACAGCTTGACTGCGACCTCATGAGATGCTCTGCTCCAGAACTTCCCAGATAAGCTGCTCCTAGATTCCTCAGCCATAGAAAGTGTGATAGAACGAATATTTGCTTTTTTAAGTTGTTAAATTTTAGGGTAACTTGTTAGACAACAACAAATAACTAGAGTGAGGCTTTAAAAGTATTGCAATGTGTCAGAATGCTGGAAGGCAGAAAGAATTTTTTAATGACAGTTGTTGATGTGCTGTGAGTCCGACCAACCTCACAGTTAAGCTGAGGGATACCACGGTCTTCATACATAATAATTAGGGCTGCCAGCAAATTATTTGGGATTGATATATGTTCTCTGTATTTATAGAATACCAAGACTCATGCAAGACCCATGTTTGGGTATGATTAAAGGCAAGAGGCTGTGACTGATTGCGTTGCTGCTTTGAGTGCAGGATGTGGTGGTTACACTGGAAATGGCTTGCATGTGCAGATTGTCAGGGCAAAAGACAAACAAATGGTTTTGCTACAGTGGAATGCCATTTGTTACCAGTGGAAGTGGGGATCTTATGGTATCTAAGGGGAAAAAAAATTATTCCACTTTTAAAAATTGAATTGTTTGTCTTCCTGGTATTGAGTCATATAAGCTCTTTATATATTTTGGAGATTAAACCGTTGTCTGATGTATTGTTGACAAATATGTTTTCCCATGCAGTTGTGTCCTGTTTCATTTTGGCGTGTCCAGTTTCATTCTGGTGATGGTTTCTTCAGCTGTGCATAAGCTTTTTAATTTGAGGTAGCCCCATTTTTTTATTTTTTCCTTTATATCCCTTACCCTAGGAGATATAACAGCAAAAATATTGCTATGCAAGCTATCTGAAATTTTACTGCCTATGGTTTCCTCTAGGATTTTTATGGTATCATGACTTATATTTAAGTCTTTTACCCACTTTGAGTTTATTCTGGTGTATGATGTAAGATGTTGGTCTAGTTTCATTTTTCTTGCATGTACCAGTCCAGTTCTCTCAATACCATTCATTGAACAGACTGTCTTTATTCCATTGTATGCCCTTCCCTCCTTTGTTAAATATGAATTGACCATAAAGACATGATTTTATATCTGTGCTTTCTATTCTGCTCCAATGATATATGTGTCTATTCTTATGACAGCACCTGAATAGACACTTCTCCAAAGAGGACATACAGAGGGCCCAGAGACATATGAAAAAAGTGCTCAGCATCACTAGCCATTAGAGAGATGCAAATTAAAACCACAATGAGATATCACTTCATACCTGGCAAAATGGCCCTCATTAATGAATCAACAGACAACAAGTGCTGGTGATGATGTGGAGAAAAGGGAACCCTAGTACACTATTGGCAGGAATGCAGACTGGCGTAGCCACTGTGGAAAGCAGTACGGTATTTCTTCATAAAACTAAAAATGGAACTGCCTTTTGACACAGCGATTCCACTACTGGGAATATACTCAAAGAATCCCCAAACACCAATTTAAAAGAATTTATGTACCTCTATGTTCATAGCAGTGCTACAGCCAAGATTTGCATACAGCCTAACTGCCCATAAGAAGATGAGTGGATAAAAAAACTGTGGTACATTTACAAAATGGAATAGGAATTGCTACCTTTTGTGACAGCATGGATGAAACTGGAGACCATTATGCTAAGTGAATTAAGCCATTCAGTGAAAGACAAATACCGTATGATGTCACTTATAAGAGGAATCTAATGAACAAAATAAACTAGAGCAAAATAGAACCAGAGGCAAATAATCATGGAACATACCGAGAGCTGTAAGAGGAGAGGGGGAGGCAGAAACTATTTGAAAAAAGATGAAAGGATTAGTCAAAGAACATGTATGAAAGACCCATGGACATGGAAAACAGTGAGGGGATAGACTATGAAAGTGGGAGGTGGGCTAGGCAGAAGGGGGCAAAGAGGGAAAAATTGACACAACTGTAAGAGCATAAACAATAAAATATTTTTTAAAAATATAAGAAAAGAATTTCCTGAGACACGCACAGGAGGATGTGGTTCTGTGGTATGGCTTATTGATGATGTAAAATTAATGGGGATCCCCTCCTGGCTTCCCACTGTCCCATTCCACGCACCTCACTATGGGAAAAGTCCATGCTTGTCTTCAATAGGGCCAGGATGAAGGCCACTGCCCAGAGTTTGTGCTCCATATTCATGTATAGTCCATTCCAGCATCTGGCTAGCTTAGTACGTTTTTCCAGCTGAAGTCCATTTCAGACTCCCTCCTGGAGCCCGTGTGTGAAGTTGCACAGCCATGAGCTACATGGCCGCTAGGACCACATGACCATGGTGAAAGGGCGAGTGAAAACACAGGACGAGTGTGGGTCTCCCTGGCAAAAGAGAGAACTTCTTTGTTCCCCAGGCATTATGTTAGTTTGGGTATGGGATGGACCAGTAGCTTTCTCAGAATGACCTATCAACTTCCCAAACTTTTGTACACTTCTGGTGGGTTGACCTTCCAACTCATCCATTCTTTCCCCAGGCTAGACCGACAGGACTCTATGGTCCAGCACCTCTCCCTGCGCCATTCTGCCCTTTATTGTCATGGGCCAGTTTTCCCCTGGTCCCACCCCCAACCTGGTATTGGAGGGTGGGGAGGTAGGACTGTTAATCCTCTTGGCAGAGAAATGTTGTAATCCCCTGGAATGTGAAACTGTAGCTTCTGGCTAGCGGGCAGACAGGTTTATGCTTTCCAGTCTATTAAACTCAATGTCTAATTCCCTTTGTTCTCTTTCCCTTTGTTCTCAGTACCTCCAGCAATAATTTTACAGATGGACAGGGACCAGGTAAGAGAAAGGACAAGTCGGGATACCTCAGAGACTTTGATTAAAAGAGACATGTGAAGGAGCCATAGACACCAACAATAAGCATCTGTATAGGTGGACCACCACAACTACATGCTTAGGGGAGTGGAAACATTCATCTCCATTAAGGAACTGCAGGTGGGACAAACTCAGTGAATAAAGGGATCACCAAACAACCCAGAAAATACTCCAAGAAAAAGAACCAATGCTTACTACCTGATATGGCCAGTGAAAAATAAAAACCCCACCTCTTCCCTGTAGGAGAAGAAACCATAGCTGGAAACCTGCGAAGCAAAATGCAGATTGAGAAAACCGGAGAAGGAACTGACCATTACACCCCTTACACATTAAGCCCAAAGCAGAAAAGAGCAGGGGAAGGAGGAGCTTTAACATTAGTAAGCATTGGAGTTCCGACTCTTGCATGGAACTGTGATTAATTAATGAAGGAGCCCTCATATGTTGCTCTTTAACAATGAATATATTATTAAATCTAAATTTGTTATTTAAAATTAGTAAAAATAACAGTATTTCATACCAGTAATAGATATCATACAATTATCAACACAACAAAAGGCTCTGAAATTTTAACCCAGACCATCAAACATTGGACTGTTACTGGGTGGCAAGAGCGTTACAGCAGATAATGTTATCTCAGGTTAAGTAAGAGACCAGCTCCCAGAACCGAACTACTATATAGCAGCACAGCATAGCATAGCATAGCATTTTTGTTTTACCAAGTATGTTCTCATATAAGCTACCCTAATAAATATATTTATAAACCATTTTTAGAACAACTGATGTCCTTATTGGAATATAGCTAAAAATTAAGAACATGCATTTTCAGAAAAGTGCAACATACTGTTATGTAAATTTGCTTTCTTTTTTGTTTGTTTTTGTCCTAACATCAGATATTCATTGTTTAAAAAAACTTTAAATTTTTTTAATTATAAGAAATAAACAAAAAAATATAAATAAATAGATAAAGAAGATTTGGTAACACTACCTCCAAATATGATACTCTCAATTACAGAGATGTAATCTTCGGGTCCCTGCTCAGCTGAGATCTCCCATCTGCTTTCAGAGATGTTTAACAATTTGTAGAGCTGATCTGAACTTGTTACTCCACACAGCAGGGTAACCACACTTTCTGGTGAGTGAAGTACCTTTTCCAGAAACTGACATTTCTTTGGAGTAAGGTCTTTAAGCAGGCTATCTGATAATATCAAAAGTTTGCATTTATAAGAGTTTAAATTCAGCAGTTCCAAATCCCGTAGAGAGTAATTCTCCAAGTGATATAACAAGATTGCTTCCATTTTCACAATTTGTGAAAAAACTTCCCTCAAGTACAGAGCCCATTCCTCAGCATCTTCTTCATATATCATTATGATGTCTTTTGTATTTTCTGGAAAAAATAAAAAATATATTTATTTTCTTATATTTAAAATGTTAACAAAAGGTTATATTGTCATTTCTCAAAAAATTTAATGTACTGCTTAAGGAATATATTAATTTGCTTATATAATAATAAAATTCATATTATACCCATTATAATCATATGGGATTAAACTAATCCCTCAGATACAACACACTTCACATACAAATGTGAATCTAGGATGCTCAGCAGAAGTGCGAGGCCTGGTGGTAGAATGGCAAGAATATTCTGTGGGATTTGGGGAGCTGAGCTACCAGGCATGGCTATGCCAGTAACCATACCTGGATTATGATATTTAACTCCTCTGAGCCATTTGTTGTTGTTGCTGTTCTGATTTTTTTGTTTTTGTTTTTTGGCTTTTTTTTACTAAATGAAGGTTTACAAAGAAAAAAGTCCTATCTAATGTACTGGACTATTCCTAGAAGAAATGAGAGAATTTACATTAGAGAATTTTAAAATCTTTCTTCGAAGTCAAGCTGGGTACATAAAGACAGATTATAGAATTTCCATGCCCAGAAAACAAAATAAAATTTAAAAAAAGAAATTCAATAGCAAAATACAAATAAAGCAGTACTATCTCATGTCATAAACTGAAAAGTTGATTCTGATAACATACTAGAAGGTCCTGGTAGGAAAGCACTAATCCTAAACTTATCTCCCACCCTAGAAACCCTAGATCTAGTACCAATGGAAACACTGAGTCACCAAAGCAGCCAGGTTTTCTCATTACATAAAAGTTATCTTTGAAGACAGATGCTTTCTCTTCCACTGATTGCTTCCTACACAATGCTTAGCACAATTTCTTAAAGGGATATCTGAAAAATATACATACAAAATATATTTTTGTATACACACACACACACACACACACACACACAAAATGAGAGAAATCTGGCAGAAAACGTATGAGAAACATACGCTAGTTGTATATGAATCACCAGTATAGTTGTTATTCTCTATGTAGTGTCTCACCCAAACTGAATACTAAATAAAGACTTGTTGAACAAACTCAGACATGGTGTCATCATTCAGTAATTTTATGTTCGAGGAACAGTAGGGGAAGGGTTTCTTTATACTATAATTATCCAAAGTAACTGTTGTATGGTTATAAATAATTACAGTAAAAATTAAACTAATAATATTATAAATTATCAAGTGCTTAAAATAAGCTTAGACTCTTCATGTTTTACATGTTATTTACTTAATTCTCAAAATTACCCTATCAAGACAGTAATTTTAGTCTCATATTACAGATGGGAAGAAGAAATTGATAATGGAATGAGGATTCTATTGCAGGCAGTCTGACTCCACACACTGTACTTTTAGCCTAATAGCAAGAGACACAATAATATTATTTAGAAGATTCTAATAGATTTTTTGTACTGATATGAGCTAGATTAATCAATATTAAGCACCCTATAAATTAATCTCAAATATGCAAAGTATGTGACAGTTTATAGGAATCTGATTTCCTATATGACATACTCCAAGAATATGGTTACCTATGAAGAATTTATAAAACTTACTTCTTGACTCTAAAATTTAAATCAATAAAATTACAGACTAAGCTATAAGGGCATATTAAAGTATAGCATGAATACTCTGACATTATATAGTTGGCTATCACACCTTCACAGAAACACAACCATAGAAAATCAATTTTAGAGACAATCATAACCCACCTTTCAAAACTTCCCAATAAAATTACTCTTTCTCAATATGTTATGGCTATTTTTTATGTTGAAATTGTTTTCTTTTTAAATTTGTGTTGGCTTAGACTGAGTCAATAATCACTGACAATTTTTCAAAACCTGATACTTAGTCCATAATTCCTGTTTGACAGCTTTCAAAAACCCAAATTTTGTTATTATATGTCTTTTCTCCCTTCTCTTTAGATTAAATTATTTGGGTCTTTAATCTTTAATTTTCTAAGTTATTTACTAAGACTTTCCATGTACCAGGTATGTTGCTAAGCATTTAACATACATTACTTCATTTAATATTTATAAACTGCATGAAGTTAGCTTTATTATTATTTTACTGATAATCACATTGAGATTCAGCAAAGTTAAGTAAGTTGTCAGAGCCATGAAGATAGTAATTGGTATTTCTGCTGCTTTCTAATCTTTTTGTATGAAACTCTGTTGAATCAAACTACAAAAGTTAATGAAACACCTTTTCATAGTCATGTTTTCTTTTCCCTTATCCTAGAAAATATGACCTTGTCCTTGAGTAACATATGAAGTATAGATCCAACAATAGTTTTCTGTGAATTCTAAAGAGGAGTCTTCTGGCCTTGCAATGCACTTCCTTTTATACACTTGAACTAAATCAAATTTAAATAATTATTCTGCCCATTTAAAAAGGATTATTGTCATTAAGTTTGGCCAATTTTAATAGGCTATGAAATGAAACAATAAGTAATAAACCTAAAATATAGAAACACAAAATTTTCATTCCAGGAAAGCATCCATTTTCAATAAAAGTCTACAAATAAATTATTTAAAATGTAAATGTCTAATCCAGCAAAATAAGGTAAATGAGAGCATTATATAAAAAAAGAGCCATATTAATTTTTGCAAATTTACTATAAATTTTTCTTTCAGATTTCATATTGATGCATTATTTATCATGCAAAATACTATAACAAATCCTTAAACCTAAAGGTAATTTGTATCAATAATTTAAATCAATAATTGTTTTTACATCAAGAACAGATTATACTACATTTTGCCAAAAGAATGAGACTGATCATAAACCTGATTTCCTCCTAATACATACTCATTAATTCAAATGGCAGATTTTCTTCATTTTGAATAAGATCCCATCTCTTACCCATGTTGGATTGTGCATAATGAAGAAAGATTGCATGATGCCTTTATTCAATATTATATTTTTTCTAACTGGTAACCAAAGTGCAGGAAAAAACAAACAAACAGGAAATTACAAAGAAATAATTTGCAGCCATAATGGACTCAATAGTGATTAACATGAATATTAATCTTGATATAATTACACACAAATATATCAGTACTCGGATTATATAGTGAGTGTAACTGAATCGTTCTTATACTTTGACAGCACAACAGGAGAACAAAACTAGGGGTTTTCCATAGGATAAAGGTAGTAAAACAAAATAAAGCTCATATTTCTCCCCCAGGAAAGTTGGTCAATTTCAAGTATTCATAATGGCAAAAGGTATCAGCTGTTTTCTGTATAGCAGATGCTGCTGCTAAATATCTCATAATTTCCTGGACCACCAGCTACATCTTGATGGTCAGTTGTTAAGCACACTGACCCCTTCCAACATCTGCTTTGGTGCTGGGGGACTTTCTCTGGAGCTAAGGGAGCTGCCACAGCCCTATGCACCTGCCTGGCAGCTCAGAAGATCTGGGAATTTAGAGAGCTGGGCAGTGTTGGGGGCAACCCTTAGTCAATGGAAATTAATGTGTAAAGAACTCATCGTTGCCATCTTTAGTGGGATGATTCTGAGGTTTGTACTTACAGAGTAAAGAGAGGGTTCTCAGTGCTATTGAATTGTAGCTGCACATCACATTAATCTGCTTATCAATATACACATTGCTGGCTTTTCTCCCTTTTTTGTCTCACATTTCCCATTTTCTCACTAGAACTTCATGGGCTCATTCTCTAAGTAAACTATCTGTATTTGTGTCCATTTCTTAGTCTTTTTCAAGGAAAATCTCTACACACATATATGTTAATTAACCTAGTTCCTCCTTTCAAATACAGGAAAGTACCAACACATTTTAAAATTATGCTTTTCAGAGATGGTGAAAAATGACCAGTAAAAATTATTTTTATACATATGTAAAACTTTCCCCTTTCTTCTTCCATTTAAGATGCAAACAGATGTTTTTATGTTTCACTGAACAAACTTGGAGATTTTTTTTTCTAAAAAACAAGGCATAGCATTAATTTTTACAGGATTATTTTGCTAAAGCCTCCTAATCATCACATATGAACCGCAAATGTTCAGCTCCTACTTCTATCACTGTTTATCACTAATACAAATTGCTAATAGTTAATTTAAGACTACAGACATAAAAAGATTCTAAATCTGTAAGGAGGTTTTAAAATGTTTCAAACTTAGCCCAAGTTTGTGGAATTCTGTTTCTACAATATCCATCCCTTTTCCCAGCCTTTATTGTCAATGCACTGTAGATTATTGAACCTAAGTCGACATTGACCATAAGATAGCCCATTACTCTTAAGAATACTGTGATCAAATAAACTATAGAATATTACAAATTTTAGGAAGAATTCTGATTTCAGAGAATTCGACTAAGTCAAAACAAAACAAAATCATCAGAATCAATTAAATATGGTAGTACTGTCATCTCACAGAGTCTCTTAAGGGTTTCTCATTTCTCCAAAGATTTCCTTGGGACCTGAATGTTTTCTGTGACCTCTCCAAGCTGAATCCTCCCCTATGGATTACATCACCCAGGTTCCCATGGCTGCTCCAATGGAAAGAACTGTCAGAACATCAGAAGGTGAGAGAAAGAAACCATAGGGCTATTTATTGGCTCTCTCACTTACTCACACATTGCCAGTTTGAGCAGTGGCTGCTTTCTTTTGTGGTCCTTCTGTCGCTTTCCTTTCATGTTTCCAGTTTTCATACAGCTCGGGCAACCATGATCTCCCCTCTCTTCCCTCACAGGGACAATGAAGGCATCATGCTCTTAGTCTTTCAGTGCTCCCATATCTGTCTTTGGGTCTTTTAGTCCTGAACATCTTAATAAATAATACCTTTATTAAATTTTTTCAGTTAAAATCTTTGATGGTGGCATCTGTTTCCTGCTGGGATCCTAACAAATGCAGGTATTAAAATGGCCCCAGGAAACAGGCTTTGTAAGGTAGAATTTGGAATTGAGTTGTTCTTATAATTGTGTAGACTACAAGCAACCCCTTTCCAAGGGGAAAGAGTACATTGGCAATTTATGGCATGC